GGGTAGGGGATGTGTAGATGAAGTGTTTACATTGAAGCATGTGTGTGAACAGTATTCAGATAAAGGTAGGGAAGTTTTCAGAGCCTTTATGGATTTAGAAAAGGCATATGATAGAGTGGATAGGGGAGCAGTGTGGCAGATGTTGCAAGTGTAAGGAATAGGCAGTAAGTTACTAAATGCTGTAAAGAGTTTTTATGAGGACAGTGAGGCTCAGGTTAGGGTGTGTAGGAGAGAGGGAGATTACTTCCCGGTAAAAGTAGGTCTTAGACAGGGATGTGTAATGTCACCATAATTGTTTAATATATTTATAGATGGGGTTGTGTAAGAAGTAAATGCTAGGGTGTTGCAGAGAGGGGTGGGATTAAATTATGGGGAATCAAGTACAAAATGGTAGTTGACACAGTTACTTTTTGCTGATGATACTGTGCTCATGGGAGATTCTAAAGAAAAGTTAAAGGTTAGTGGATGAGTTAGGGAGGGTGTGTAAAGGTAGAAAGTTGAAAGTGAACATAGATAAGAGTAAGGTGATGAGGGTATCAAACGATTTAGATAATGAAAAATTGGATATCACATTGGAGAGAGGGAGTATGGAAGAAGTGAATGTTTTCAGATGTTTGGGAGTTGACGTGTCAGTGGATGGGTTTGTGAAGGATGAGGTTAACCATAGAAGTGATGAAGGAAAAAAGGTGAGTGCTGCATTGAGGTATATGTGGAGACAAAAAAAACATTATCTATGGAGGCAAAGAAGGGAATGTATGAAAGTATAGTGGTACCAACACTTTTATATGGGTCTGAAGCTTGGGTTGTAAATGCTACAGTGAGGTGGTGGTTGGAGGCAGTGGAGATGTCCTGTCTAAGGGCAATGTGTGGTGTAAATATTACGCAGAGAATTCGGAGTGTGGAAATTAGGAGAAGGTGTGGAGTTTACAAAAGTATTAGTCAGGGGGCTAAAGAGGGGTTGTTGAGGTGGTTTGGTCATATAGAGAGAATGGATCAAAGTAGAATAACATGAAGAGCATATAATCTCTAGGGGGAAGGAAAGCAGGGTAAGGGTCATCCTCAAAAACGTTGAAGGGAGGGAGTAAAGGAGGTTTTGTGGGCAGGGGTCTTGGACTTCCAGGAAGCATGCATGAGCCTGTTAGATAGGAGTGAATGGAGACAAATGGTTTTTGGGACCTGACGAGCTGTTGGAGTGTGAGCAGGGTAATATAAATTTAGTGAAGGGATTTAGGGAAACTTGTTATTTGGAGGAATATACTACACCTACCATCCGACTTACAACCGAGTTCGGTTCCGAGAAACCGGTCGTAAGCCGAAATAATCGTAAGTCGAACTTTACTACTGAATATCAACAAAACATTTTTGTAATGACTATTTTATTGTTTTATTTTGGTATTTCATGTTTTACTTTACTTTTTATGCTGTTAGTACTGTATTTTATACTGTAAGGCTAAGGATAAACACTGTGTACAACACAAATAGTTGTTTATTTCCCAGAAATTTGGCATAAAAAACACGGTTGTAAGTCGAGTGGTCGTAAGTCGAGCAGGTCGTAAGTCGGATGGTAGGTGTATTTATCTATATATATGCTTCTAAATTGTTGTATCTGAGTGCCTCTGGAAAGACAGTGATTATGTATGAGTGAGGTGAGAGTGTTGAATGATGATGGAAGTATTTTTGGGAGGAATTTTCTTTCTTTCTGGGTCACCCTGCCTCGGTGGGAGACGGCCGACTTGTTGAAAAACAAATTATTATTATTATTATTATTTATTAGTACATATGCATTCTTATAATAATACTCTTGCTTACCATTTAGAACTTTTATTCACGCAAGAAAAGAGAAGATTTACTGTTATGCAGACTATTGCATTATTGTAATAACTCTATAAATAATGTCAACCTATTCATGACTGCACATCAGAATGGCCACTTGGACAGGTATTGTTTACTCTTGAACATCGGCAAAAATTGAACATTTCTGCTACTTTGAGCTCAATTTCAAGGTACTTTTCATCGTGAAACCAATCAAAATCATATCTATTTCTTTAATATATCTTCCAGTGTATCAAATGAGACCAAAAAAATGAGAATACAACCATAATAACCATACGAAAATATACCTCTAAAGGGTGGCTAATGGGTGAGAAGTGAACTCCGTTATTTATGATCCGGTTTCTTTCAATTTTGGTGTACGTTAAGAAGCATCTTTCCATCATACATTACCCAAGTTTCAATAAGATAGTCCGACAAACAAATGAGATCCAATTCCTTAGATCAAGAGCAAGAGCCCCTCATCAGTGTCAAGGAACCTTCCTCGAGGCCCACTCGCATCTGGAAATTTCACTTGCGACTGGAAGCAAAAAATCAACTGAGCGACTGCTTGTATCTGGAAAAACTCGGACATGGATGTGCTCATAAGTAGAGGTTCTACTGTACTTTGTTTTAGTCCAGCAGTTTCCACTGGGGTGACCCAGGCTTGGATCAGGGGTATCTGGCAGTCTGGGTGATTTAAAGGTGACTCGACATCAATGCTATACACCTCCTTCATTTGCTCTTCTATTTATCAATTGAATGGTTATTTTTATTATATTAAATATGATTTGTTTTAACTTGATAAATACCATTTACTTTTACAGCTAGTGTAAATACATGTTAGCTATAAGGACATATGTGCAACTATTGCAACCTTTTATTGTGGCAATGTTTCACTCTCGAAAAGTTTTGTCAAGTGATTAAAGAAGCAAATTTCTGCAGACATAAATGCCTTGAATAATTTTTAATTACCACTTCACATACCATTAAACAAAACAAGGGTAGCCTTCTCATCTCTTGGGTATTAGGAAGAATTCTCCTCAAAGTAATAAACCCTGCCATAACATAGCAATCAAGAGTTGTTGCTGCTGTCATTGTCACTCTCTCTCACATCATCACTGTCTTCCCCACCACTGCCTCCACCACCAATGCTACTGCTGCCACCACCACCTACAGCATGGGCCAATGGGCCCTCTGCAATGCTTACATTCTGCCACCTCACATTACCTATATACACCTTCTGTGTCCTTGTATTCTTTATGGTAGCCTGACCAAGCTCCTGGAGAGTGAAACATTGCCACAATAAAATGTTACATTAGTTACACATGCATCCTTATACCCAATGTATTGTCAGTAATTCTACCATTCTTACAAGTGTAAATACAGTCCAAAGAATAATAAAGTTATTAAACACAGGCATGTAAAAGAAGGAAATTACAAGAGAAAACAGAAAAGAGCAAGGTGATGAGAGTTACAAAAAATCTAGGCAATGACTGAGTATCAGATTGAAGGGAGGAAGCATGGAGGAAGTGAATGTATTTAGATATCTGGGGGAGTGAGCATGTCAGCAGATGGATCTTTTTTTTTATTAACACACTGGCCGATTCCCACCAAGGCAGGGTGGCCCGAAAAAGAAAAACTTTCACCATCATTCACTCCATCACTGTCTTGCCAGAAGGGTGTTTTACACTACAGTTTTTAAACTGCAACATTAACACCCCTCCTTCAGAGTGCAGGCACTGTACTTCCCATCTCCAGGACTCAAGTCCAGCCTGCCGGTTTCCCTGAATCCCTTCATAAATGTTACTTTGCTCACACTCCAACAGCACGTCAAGTATTAAAAACCATTTGTCTCCATTCACTCCTATCAAACACGCTCACGCATGCCCGCTGGAAGTCCAAGCCCCTCACACACAAAACCTCCTTTACCCCTCCCTCCAACCTTTCCTAGGCCGACCCCTACCCCGCCTTCCTTCCGCTACAGACTGATACACTCTTGAAGTCATTCTGTTTCGCTCCATTCTCTCTACATGTCCGAACCACCTCAACAACCCTTCCTCAGCCCTCTGGACAACAGTTTTGGCAATCCCACACCTCCTCCTAACTTCCAAACTATGAATTCTCTGCATTATATTCACACCACACATTGCCCTCAGACATGACATATCCACTGCCTCCAGCCTTCTCCTCGCTGCAACATTCATCACCCATGCTTCACACCCATATAAGAGCGTTGGTAAAACTATACTCTTATACATTCCCCTCTTTGCCTTCAAGGACAAAGTTCTCCACAGACTCCTAAGTGCACCGCTCACCCTTTTCCCTTCATCAATTCTATGATTCAGATGGATCTATGAGGAGAAAAGTGCATAGTGTGTTGAGGCATTTGTGAAAACAAAGAAGTTTATCTATGAAAGCAAAAAAAGGTATGTACCAGAGTATAGTGGTACAAACACTTTTATACTGGTGTGAAGCATGGGCTTTGAATGCTAGAGCAAGGAGGTGACTAGAGGCAGCAGAGATGTCACGTTTGAGTGCAGTGCGTGGTGTGATTATCACGCTAACGTGACGGGCTGGAGTTTTGAGACTCTCTGACCGCGGGTTCAATCCCGGCCGGGGTATGGTTTGGTATGCAGAGAATTTGAAGCATAAAAATTAAAAAAGTGATGTGGTGTCACCAAGAGTCTAATTCAGAGCTGAGGAGAGGTTGTTGGAGCAGTTTGGGTTTGCACAGAGAATGGAGAGGGATAGGATGATGATGAGTGTATAAATCTGGGTGGAAGGTACAAGGGGAAAGGAGCCATCCCAGTAATGGTTGGGAAGAGGGGGTCAAGAGGCTTCAAGCTAAATTTAAGGGCATGAACATCCAATAGAACTGTTAAATAAGAGTGAATGGAAACCAAGTGGTTTTTAATGATGTGATGTTGGAGTGTGAGCAAGGTAACTTTCATGAAGGGATTCAGGGAAACTGGTTAGCTAGTACACTTCTGGGGGAAAAAAAAGAAAGAAATTGAGTGAATGATGGTGAATGCATTTTCTTCTTTGGGTCAACTTGCCATGGCAGGAGACAGCTGTTGTTAAAAATAAAAAGTATCAATATTGACTCTTTAGAAACTAAAGTTTTTTTGTTTATACCATCTGAATAAATTAAACCATCTGAGGTAAATAACACAGTGTGTTACTCTAACCTGGAAGTCTGTTGTGAATGCTTCAGGTAAGAAATTATGTCGCTGAATCACTTGATATAACATTTCATGTGTTTCGATGGCTGGCTTGATGTCTCCCTTTAGAACCTGAAGAGATATTCAGTTATAAGTAGTAGTTTTGCATAAATTAAACATTTTTTTACACAATACAGATATGTAAGATAAGAGATAAAGACAATTAAAAATGACTGAAGAACCCTACTGCGAAGGCGAAACGTTTCGGAATAAAGTTGCCTAACTGTTGCCTATGTGTCTTACCTACCAACCACAATTAAAAACAACACTAAATGATGGTTTCATTTTGTGATGCAGCCACTTACCTGAAGACCAGGCCAGAAAGCAAGAAGAGCATCCATGAAGTTACGGGAAGTGGTGTGGGGACGGTGCATGTGGACATCTAGCAACATTGGACCTTGACTAATGTACTTCATTACTGCACTGTAATGCTGCCAAGTAAAAATTAACAAAGCTCTTCATATATAACACAATTATAAATAACATCAAGGTTCTAGAGACTAATTACATATTGAAAGTAATTTTTTTTTAACACTTCAGCCATCTCCCACCGAGGCAGGGTGATCTATACAAGAAACACTTTCACAATCATTCACACAATCACTGTCTTTGCAGAGGTGCTCAGATATGACAGTTTAGATGTCACTCCAAACATCCAATATCCCAAACTCCTCCTTTAAACTGCAGGCATTGTACTTTCCACATCTAGGACTTTAAAGTCCAGTTAACTGGTTTCCCTGAATCCCTTCACAAAATATTATCCTTCTTACACTCCAACAGCTTGCCAGGTCCCAAAAACCATTATTCTCCACTCACTCCACGCTTACACATGCCTGCTGCACATCCAAGCCCCTTGCACACAAATCCTCTTGTGCCTGCTCCCTCCATTAATTCCTAGGATGACCCCTACCCCTCCTCCCCTCCACTACAGGTATATACACCCTTCATCCTATTTTGTTCCATCCTCTCTAAATGACCAAACCACCTCAACAACCCCTCCTCATAATATTTGCACCACACATTGCCCTTAGATGCATCTCCACTGCCTCCAGCCTCCTCCTTGCTACAGCATTTACAACCCATGCATCACACCTATACAAAAATGTTGGTACCATTATGTTCTCGTACATTCCCTTCTTTGCCTCCATGGATAACATTTTTTGTCTCCACAGATACCTTAATGCACCACTCACCTTTTTTCCTTCATCAAGTCGAAGGTTAACCTCTTCTTTCATAAACCCATCCAATGACAAGTCTACTCCCAAATATCTGAGCACATTCATTTCCTCCATACACCCTCCCTCCAATGTGATATCCAAATTATCTTTACCTAACATATTTGATACCCTCATCACCTTACTCTTATCTATATTTACTTTCAACTTTCTTCCTTTACACAACCTCCAAAATTTGTCCACTAACCTTTGCAAATACTCTTTGGAATCTCCCAAAAGCACAGTATCATCAGCAAAAAGTAACTGTCTCAATTCCCATTTTACATTTGATTCCCCATAATTTAATCCCACCCCTCTCCCCAACACCCAAGTATTTACTTCTTTTACATCCCCATTTGTAAATATGCTAAACAACCATGGTGGCATTACACATCCCTGTCTAAGATCAACTTTTACTGGACAGTAATTGCCCTCTCTCCTACACACCCTAACCTGAGCCTCATTTTCCTCATAAAAACTCTTTACAGCATTTAGTAACTTACGACATATTCCATACATTTACAATATCTGCCACATTGTTCCCCCTATCCACCCTAACTTATGCCTCTTCTAAATTCATGCATGCAAACTTCCCTACCTTTATTTAAATGATGTTCACTTATATGCTTCAATGTAAACACTTGGTCTAACATCCCCTACCCATTCTAAAGCCTCCTTGTTCATCTGCAGTCCTGCTGTCTTACCTCTAATTTTTTCAATAACAACACCCTGGTATACTCAGAAAACTTATTCCCATATAATTTTTACAATCTCTCTTGTCCTCCTTCCCTTTATATAAAGAAACTATATATGCTCTCTGCCAATCCCTAAGTACCTTCCCCTCTTTCATACATTTATTGAATAAAATTACCAACCACTCCAAAATTATATCCCCCCTGCTATTAACATTTCTGTCATGATCCCATCAGATACTTAAAATATTCCTGCCATCTTCCCAATACCTCCCACTTTCCATCTATTAACTCCCCTATTCTGTTTTTAATTGTTAAGTCCACTCATTTCCTAGGCTATCTTAACCTATTAATCTCACTCCAAAACTTTTTTTTATTCCCAGCAAAATTTCCTGACAGCACCTGACTCACTCTGCCATTTGCTCTCCTTCTGCACTCCCTCACCACTCTCTTCACCTCTCTTTTCCTCTCTATATACTCCACCCTTCATATATCACTTCTGCTTCATAAAAAAACCTCTTGAAACCCAAACCCTCCTAAACCCCCAAAAATTTTCCCCCACACTCTAAAAAGCATTTTTAAAACTATTTCCACCCCTCTTAAACCCCCCCTAAACAATTTTTTCAAAACAGTTTTTTCCTAAACCCCCTTTAAATGATTTAGAGTGGTGTTTTTAAATAAGAGAGATGTCATGATGTCTTTTTATCCCCTCCCCAAAAGCTTTTTCTGGTGAAATGGTCACAGGGGAAAATGTAAAAAGACCAGAAATATAAAAACATGAACCTGGGGATTTCAAAAAGGGGGGGTTTTTATGGGCCCCCAAAACTTAAACAGGTCCGAGAAGTCTTTGGGAACTAAAGGAATTTCATACAAAGACTGAATCTGTGAAAAAAGACTGGAAGAACAAAAACTTGCATAAAATCTCTAACTACTTTTATAACCTACCACTTTTTTCCATACACAAAAACAACAACAAAATGCCCCCTGGTTCAATGTAAACACTTATCCAAAACACCCCACTCCCCTTTCCCAAAACCTCCTTTTTCCCTTTTGAAACCCCTACGTTTTAACCACAACCCTTCATTAAAAATTTTTAAACCAAAAAACTTTACCTAAATATTAACATTTTTTTTTTTTTTTTTTAAAATCAAATCAGTTGTCTCCCACGGGGTGGGGTGACTAAGCGGGTTTTATCCCCCTAAAATTCTTTTTTTCTTTTTTGCTTCCTTTTCCCCTTATGCAGAAGATCAAACCTTTTGCAAGTGGGGGTCTAATAGCCCCACAAATGCCTGATATTATTTATACCAAATTTTTTCAAAAATCCGTGGGCTGTATAACACTAAAAACCCTTTTATTTTTTTTGTGAATAAAAAATTCAAAAAGGAAAGCAACGTAATATAAGAGGGGCATGGGGACAGGGTTAACGAAAAAGTGAAAATTTTTTTTAGTGCTAGGAAAGCTTGTATTTTTAATTTTTAGAAACCCCCTTTTTTTAAAATTGGGGCCCTTTCCCTTTTTAAAGTGTTTTGAAATTGCCCAAATTACCAATTTTTTACACTGGGGAATGAGGGGTTCGGAAAAATTTTTTTTTGGGGACCTGCCTGGGTGGGAAAACAGCCAGTTTGGGTTTGAAAAAAAAATTTTTTAAAAGTTGTATTAGCACTTTTTATTTTTAAGTCCCTTTAGTGTGAACTTTTCAAATTATTTTTGTTCTTTGTTTTATGCTGCCCCAAAAAGGGGCCCCATAAAAAAAAGCTTTTCTAAATAAAAGAAAATTTTTGATGTTTTTTCAATTTAAAGACAAAACTATCTAATCACAAATTTTAAAGACTTTGTCGCCTGTGGTTACAAAACAAAAAAAACGAATAATCAAATTTAATTCCAGGGGAATCCTAAAAAAAAACTAAATTTTCAAAAAATAGAAAGGGGTTCATCACAGTTTATTAGTAAAATTTTAAAAAGTATTTTTTTTTAAGGTACAGTAAAACCCCCATTTAAAACAGCATTTGGGTTTCCGCTTTTTTTGTTCCCCAAAAATAAAAAATTGAAATTACTCATTGAAACCTTTGCAAAAAAAAAAATTTTAAAATTTTTAAAAATCCTTTTATCATGTTTATAAGCTATGTAATGTGTTTTTTTTATTAATTTTGAAAAAAATATCATAGGGATTAATAAATGTCTATATCACCCTTTCCCCATCAGGGCCTAATATACGCTTGCAAGTCATGTTGGTGCCGTAAAAATGTCCAAAAATTTTTAGCGGCTTCCAATCATGCAAAAGAAAGCTGGCAGACCACATATGAGGAATGAGCTGATGGTCAGTGTGAAACTCATGAAAAAAACCTGCAGCACACAGGCATGAAAAAAAAAAACTTCGCCCATGTTTTTTTTAAAAAAACCCCAAAATTTGCGGTGTATTTTCATATGGCTTTTATGGTTGCTTTCTATTTTTTTGGGTTTCAATGATAGAATGGAAGATTTTTTTTCAGAAAAGAGATGATTTTGAAATTGAGCTCAAAGCATGGAAAAATTTGATTTTTTTCGATGTTTAAGGTAAACAAATGACTTATGCGTCCCTACATTCAACTGGTAGGTTTAAAACTTTCACAAATCGCGATATTATTTTTAAAACCCTTTTTGCAATAAAGCAGTATTGCATAACAGTAAATCTTCCATTTTTTGTGTGAATAAAAATTCAAAATGGAAAGTAAGCATAATGTAAGAAGGGCCTGGAGACGTGACTACTGAACAGAAAAAATGTTATTTTAGTGTTAGGAATGTTTGTATTGTTAATTCTAGACCCTATTTTAAAGGTGGCATTACTTGAAATGTGATGAAACTGGCCAAATTACCAATTTCTTATCACTTTATTGGGTAGTTGAAATCAGTAATGGGCAGTTTCTTTTACTCAACTAATAGAACAAATGGAGTTTTAGTGAAATAGCTTTGAGTTTGGTAGACTGGAACAATGGAATTGGCCAACAAAAGGGCTCACAGTGGGTGAAATCGTCGATGTGTAAATATTGCTGAGATTGCTAACTTCACGAGAGCATAATTCCATAAGTTTTCCATCAAATTTCATATTTTTGGTGTCATTACCATCGAGAAAGATTCTTTGTCATTTCATGAGAAAGAAATAATTTTTTTTTTAAATTCTTCAACACTGAAAGCAAGTTTGTGAGCAGGAGTCTTGACAGTGAAAGGGTTAATGTAAAATAAGACATTTAATATGCCCAAGAGTGATTATTAGTATTACGTATTATTATTATTATTATTATTATTATTATTATTATTACTATGGCATCAAAACTTGAGGACAGTCTTTTTGATTTTAATGTGTACCTGTACACCAGCACAGTAAGTTTATTTAGGTATAAGTACACATAAGTATAATTACCAGAGTACAGTAGGGCTCCATTTTACAGCGTTTTGCCTTTCGGTGTTCTGCTAATATGAACATCTCAAATTATGACCAAAACTTGCTATACAGGTCACCCCACCTGACTTTCTAATACGGTCACCATGTGCCACCTGATTTGTTTACATTCTCCATGAGC